GCGTCCCATTTGTATGTTTTAACCATTAACACTTAAAAAATTTACATTAAAATGAACAATCTACGCAAATAAAGGCCTATATTTGTGTTTTTACCATTCAGAACGTTGTTACCGCCTTCCGAATACTGTATGCGCATTCAATATGGCGCCGATGATTGCAGCCTCTGCCGGTCGGTGCGCCCTGTTTTGTCTTGTTTTGTCTGTTAATTCAGTGTTCTGACAACATTTTCGGAGTTCTCTAACAAGAGACGAACTTCTAAACATCAGGGAAACAACTCCTGTGGATTTATTTCCCACTTTTCTGCTTCCAGCGGCAGAATTAGTGGGCATTCTAGTCAAAGCCGGACTAGGCTTTGCTCAAGCAGCGAAACACCGCCGAAGGGGTAAACGGTCGGGGGCTCTAGTACGGCTACTCAGACGCGGGATCCGAACAGTGCTTCCAAGCTTTTTCCTCTCCAACGTACGTTCACTGTGCAACAAAATGGTCGAACTTCCGCTACTGATGGTGAAAAACAGAGACTTTCTTTCATCTTCTGTTTTGTGCTTCCACGGATACATGGCTGTGTGATTTGATCCCGGACACTGCGTTACAACTGGCAGGCTTCCAACTCGTAAGATCGGATCGGGACATAGCACTCTCCGGCAAGACGAAAGGCGGTGGTATTTGTTTTTACATTAACAGTGGCTGGTGTGTAGATGTCACAGTGATTCTGCAACATTGTTCTCCGGACCTGGAATCATTATTTATAAACTGTAAACCTTTCTACTCGCCTTGCGAGTTCGTGTCGCCCATTTCGGAGTTTATTTGCCGCCGGGTCCTCAGGTTAAAGAGGCCCAACGCATGCTCGCCGGCCAGATTCTGAGTGTGGAGCGAGCAAATCCGGCTTCCCTGGTTATCGTATTCGGCGACTTTAACAAAGGTAATCTCAGCCACGAACTCCCCCAAATACAGACAATTAATCAAATGCTCTACCAGAGAAGGGAACACTCTGGATCACTGCTACACTACAGTCAGTAGAGCCTACCACGCCGTCCCCCGAGTAGCACTGGGACACTCTGACCATGTCATGGTCCACCTGATTCCTGCATACAGGCAGAAACTACAGCTCTGTAAACCTGCTGTGAGGACATCTAAACAGTGGATCAGTGAGGCTATGGAGAATCTGCGGGCGTGCTTGGACTGCACTGACTGGGATATGTTCACGACTGCTACCAATAGTCTGGATGAAATCACAGAGGCTGTGACGTCGTACATCAGCTTCTGTGAGGACTGCTGTATTTAAACACGCACCAGGGTGAACTTCAACAACAACAAGCCCTGGTTCTCAGCAAAGCTCAGAAGGTTGAGGTTGGAGAAGGAGGAAGCATTTAGGCGTGGGGATAGAGACAGATTCAAGGAGTCGAAGAACAGGTTTAGCAAGGCGGTGAGAGAGGCTAAACGACTGTACTCAGAGAGACTAAATCACCAGTTCTCTGCTAACGACTCTGCTTCTGTCTGGAGAGGGCTCAGGCAGATCACCAACTATAAGCCCAGAGCCCCCCACACCACTAACGACTCCCGCCTGGCCAACGACCTGAACGAGTTCTACTGCAGATTTGAAAGACAATTGGACTGTCCTGAACTACCCCTTCCCACCCAAGAGGCATCCCCCCTCCCCCACTACAGAGACGACTCTCTCCATTCAGGAGGGAGAGGTTAACAGACGTTTCAAGAGGCAGAACCCCCGCAAAGCAGCTGGGCCGGACTCTCTCCAGCGACCCTCAAGCACTGCGCTGACCAACTGTCTCCGGTGTTCACAAACATCTTCAACACCTCCCTGGAGACATGCCATGTCCCAGCCTGTCTCAAGTCCTCCACCATCATCCCTGTGCCTAAAAAGCCAAGGCCAACAGGACTTAATGATTACAGACCCGTCGCCCTAACCTCTGTGGTAATGAAGTATTTTGAGCGCCTGGTGCTGGCACACCTCAAAGCCATCACAGACCCTCTCCTGGACCCCCTGCAGTTTGCCTACAGAGCCAACAGGTCTGTGGACGACGCAGTTAACATGGCCCTCCACTTCACCCTACAGCACCTGGATGCCCCAGCAACCTATGTCAGGATCCTGTTTGTGTACTTCAGCTCTGCTTTCAACACCATCATCTCTGCCCTTCAGGACAAGCTCTCCCAGCTGAACGTGCCCGACTCCATCTGCAGGTATATGACAGACTTCCTGTCTGACAGGAAGCAGTGCGTTAAGCTGGGAACACAAGTCTCTGACTCCCGGTGCATCAGCACCGGATCTCCTCAGGGCTGCGTCCTTACCCCTCTGCTCTTGTCCCTGTACACCGACAGCTGCACCTCCAGTCATCCGGCTGTCAAACTCTTGAAGTTTGCGGACGACACCACCCTCATTGGGCTCATCTCTGGTGGGGATGAGTTTGACTATAGGTGGGAAGCTGACAACCTGGTGACCTGGTGTAGCCAGAAGCTCAATGCTCTTAAGACAGTGGAGATTGTTGTGGACTTCAGGAAGAATACAGCCCCACTCACCCCCATCACCATGTGCGACTCCCCAGTCAACACTGTGGAGTCCTTCCGCTTCCTGGGCACTATCCTCTCCCAGGACCTCAAGTGGGAACTGAAGATCAGCTCCCTCATAAAGAGAGCACAACAGAGGATGTAATTCCTACGGCAGCTGAAGAAATTCGACCTGCCAAAGACAATGATGGTGCACTTCTACACAGCCATCATTGAGTCCATCCTCACCTCCATCACCATCTGGCACGCTGCTGCCACTGCCAAGGACAAGAGCAGACTGCAGCATATCATCCGCACTGCTGAGAAGGTTATTGGCTGCAATCTGCCTACCCTCGAGGACCTGACCCTGAGGCGAGTGAGGAAGATTGTGGCCGACTCCTCCCACCCTGGACACTCTCTGTTCCAGCTCCTCCCCTCCGGCAGAAGGCTGAGGTCCATCAGGACCAAAACCTCACGCCACAAAAACAGTTTCATCTCATCTGCTGCTGGCCTCTTCAACAAGGCCAAGGGCTCACACTGACTTTAATATTGTATCTGCACAATGACACCTTGCCATATGTGTACTATGTTACACTATTAGTATTTTTATAATGTATATTATAGCTATTTTATATTTTATATTTAATTTTATTCCAATGTTTTACCTACTTTAGCCCCTTAGTATTAGTTAGACTTTGTACCTTTTGTATAGTTAGACTTGTACACCATTTATTTTATATTTAAGATTCCTATATGTTGAATGTATGCACCTTCCTGCCAAAGTAAATTCCTTGTCTGTACGAACTTTCATGGCGAATGAAACCCTTTCTGATTCTGATTTACCTCAAATCTCAATGACAAAGTCATCAACGCTCGTTAATTGTATTTACACGTTTGGCGCCAAAAAAAGCGGCAAATGAAGCAACGTTGAAGATAAAATCATTGGCGGAGTATCCTTGTTGGCACTCAATTGATTTTGATAATGTTGAAGTTTTGTGCAAAACTAGCGACTACTGGCCAAGATTAATTAGAGAATCTATCAAATTGAAATAAATCAAACTAACTTTAACCGTTCGGATAGCTCCCGTCTTAGTGCTGCGTGGAAGCGAATCATCAAATAATACATTATTTAAATGCATGCCTACAAAGGGCAGCGTACTTCAATAGGGATTACCATTGGTAGGGGTATTTTAATAAACACAAAAGACAGGAAGGACAAGTTCCAAGGGCTCGCATAATGCACATACGTTGCCTCAGTAATCCCTCCCCCCCACATTGTGCAAGAGCGCAGAAGGGTGGTCAACACATATACGCCTCTATATAAGGAACGAAACAGTAAGACTTCACAAATCTGGCTGTCGCCTGATGAAGCTAGTTGTAATTACTGGCGAAACGTCGTACTCAGATTGTAAATGTTGTGGCTTGGCTCTCCAACACACCGGTGTACTAGTGACGAATTGGCATGTTCTGTTTACGTGACAACCCTTACTAGTTGTCGATCTAACCCAAAAACCTCTTATGGATGATATTGGTCGCGAAAACCTACGTACTAAACTATATAATTATTAGTTAATTAAAATAATATGATCACCTCCAATGTACACGCTCCATTGCTTATTAACGTTCTCAGTTGCCATGAAGTCCCCATCCATAAATTCTGCATTACCCAAACATTCATCACCGTCCCAAAAAAAAGCGGTGTACTAGTGACGAATTGGCATGTTCTGTTTACGTGACAACCCTTACTAGTTGTCGATCTAACCCAAAAACCTCTTATGGATATTGGTCGCGAAAACCTACGTGCTAAACTATATAATTATTAGTTAATTAAAATAATATTATCACCTCCAATGTACACGCTCCATTGCTTATTAACGTTCTCAGTTGCCATGAAGTCCCCATCCATAAATTCTGCATTACCCAAAAATTCTTCATCACCGTCCCCCCCATTTGTGTGTGTGTTTTTTTTTACCCAGCCCCAAGCGGTGCCAATGGAGCAACATCGCACCAGCACCACGGTGCGTCACCTGGCGGCGTCTAGCTACTACCACTACCACCCCGTGTGCTGGTCATCGCACTACGACACACATTTATTTCTAAATATATACAAGTATATTTATCCATATTTTAAAAAATGTTTTGTTACGTTTTTATGTAAATATGAATTCATGGATAAATGTGTCTAAATAAAAATATATTTCAAATATACCTATGAATAGATATTTATAGGTATATTTATATATAAACATATATACATGTATTTACATTTTTATTATGAATGTAATTTATATGTATATATTTAGAAATATATTTAAATGTAAATTAATATTAATACGTAAACATACGCATCTTTATTTTAAAAATATATAACATTATATAAATACGTAACAAAATATAAACATATTTACATATTTATATGCAACTATAAATATATATTTCGATGGTTGTTGTGTTGGTGGTGATCCACCACCAACACAACACGAAGGTGGCGAGCACCGTGTGTCATGGCGTCTGCCCTCTGCACTGTTCACATTCACCTCTCTCAGGACGCACCACTCAGATCCAAGATTCTCACTGAGGCACCAACTTTACCGTACCACCCCCTCCACCCCACGGCCAGCCCAGGATGTAGGGGCTGAGCGAAGGTTTCATGAAACGAGTGCAACGGCGCCATGGAGTCGGCGCTGTAAAACGACAGCAGCCCCGCGTCCCAGTCCAGATGAATCCCGACTCTCCGCGGAGGCTCCGGCACCGACAGTGAGGTCTCTACCCCGCCATGCACCACTGAGAAGCTGTCGCCATCTTTCCGTAGACACCAGGAGACATCACTCCCTCCCAGGCTGCACTCATCACCACGCCCTCTCCGTGGGATCGTCCTGTACGCGACTCCAACTCGACACCGCCCCGCGCTCCCCACATCCACCTCCCAGTAGTGCTGACCCGACGAGAAGCTATCATAGCACATGGCTTGGTAATATACATCAAAACGGTGTGAGTGATGGGGGCGACCCTGGGAGACACCTCTCCACGTCACCTGTCCTGAGATCCGAGGAAATCTGGAGGTAGTCGTGGGCTGAGTTTTTGTCCAGAGCCGGTGAGCGTCCATCTGTGGTGAGGACAGCGACAACGCCGGCACAGCGGTCACGGCGACGCGTGTACATACACACATACGTGGCGTGTACACACACATGCTGGTGTTCTGTTGTCTGTTGTGTTGTTGTTGTCATACCGCACTACGTGGTAAGTTGATACGTAACACTGTGATCATCACGTGTATAACAAATGCATATAGGATGGGTATTCATTAGTAACACATTCCTGCAGAGGGAGCTGGTAGGAACGTTGGGTTGCTCGGTCAATGGCCAGGGTTAACAACAGCGTGGTGTATTCCGCAAATATGGCCAACTGTGAGCACGGGCACAAGCTGGCGTGAGTAGGTTAAACGTTTAGTTTTATAAGGGCACTACGGGGTGACCAGCCCCTCCCCACCCAGCCCCACCCCACACCCAACCTCACCCTCCCCACCCAGCCCCTCCCCACCCTCCCTTCCCAACCCAGCCCCCCTCCCCACCCAGCCCCTCCCCACCCTCCCATCTCCACCCAGCCCCACCCCTCCCATTTTTGGATGCACGACGGACGGACACAATAATCCCCTGTGGGCTGGTGGAAACAGGTGGTTCCTACCAGTATTAGTGTACACATGTAGAGGAGTAGTATGGAGACATGACGTCATACGCGAGGTGATGTGCGAGGACGTCATGTCACCTGGGAGTACTTAAGGGGGGCCACGTGATGAAAGGGAGGTCGTTGAGGAAGCCCGGGATGGAGAGAGGTTGAAAAGAAGATAGAGCCAGGGGTAAGGCCGGAAGAAGTCTGCAAGAGCCAGCTAGGTTTAGGTGGGGCGCTGCTCTCCTCGGTCGGGTGGTGTTGGTTAAGCCTCCATCCCGAATCGAGTGAGAGAGCGAGAGATAGCTGGGCTAGCAGCAGAGAGAGCCCGAGGTCCCTGTGAAGGACCCAGTGTAGGGGCACCTACCTCTGGTGCAGTCATTGCTCCCTTGTGTTAATAAACCAGCGCAAGCTCTTACCTGGAAACTTGCCTCCGAGTCGTCATTCACCACGCAACAATTGGTGCCAGAAGTATCTCCAGCCTTCGCCGCCATGCACAAATTAAGGGCGAAGATGAAGAGGGCTTGGAGGAGGCTCCCGCGACGGCCCCGGAGACCGGGGCCCTGGAGATGGAGTGGGGACCGTCACGAGTTGGAGGAGGTGGAGGCTGTGGGTGGCTCCTCACCTCCGCCAGACACCTGGCAGGTCCTCACGGGCCAGCTAGGACTGCTCCTACAGTCGGCCGCCCAACTCGTCGCGCGACGATGGCCGAGGTGGGATCGCATCCGCTGCGCACTCGGCATGCTTTCGGAACGGAATCGGCGGGTTTCCGCCATCGCGCCTCCCGCTTCATTTGCAATTGGCGCTATTTCCCCACCGGCTGTGACTCCAGTGTTGGGCGCCATAACTGCGCAGGATGCGACGTGGTCTTCGGCCGCCATTTTTACTGCGACACCAGCAACCGGGCGCCATTTTACCTGTGACGCCGCAATCGGGCGCCATTAGGGGTGCGACTCCGTACACGGCCGCCATTGCCGACGCGGATCGGCAACCCGGCGTCGCCATGGCTCCTGCAGCAGCTTCTCCGAGCTTGACGGTGGGTGCGCCCTCGGCCGCAGTTGAATCCGGTGGCCACAGGCTCCGCGATTTGCCTCCCGTGTACCAATTCATCGCGACAGGCGGCGATTGGTCTGTGTTTCAGGACCGGTTTTATGCAGCGTATGCGTCGGTTGGATGGCCCATGAAGTGCTACCCACATCACTGGACAACAGGGCTGCTGACAGGGCGACGCTGCAAGACGCGTACGCCCAGATGGCCGCAATCTTTGAGCCGCCTTCAAGCATGCGCCTCAAGTTTTCAATGCGGAGGCGGGAGGAAGCGGAAACACCGCTCGCCTACCGCAGCTCTTTACTGGCGATATTTTCGTGGACCAAGGCTGTGTGGAGATTCCATCGGGCCGACGGCTGCATTTCTTGCAGTCTCCCACTTTCTTGTCCGCCCTTGCCACCAGTGTATGGGCTTTGACGAAGGAGTCTGTGACCATTCCACCTGGGTCACAAAAGCTGGTACCTCTGAGGTTGCACAGGCCCCTGAATTCGCGTTCCCCCGAGATGGGGATCCTGTAATCTCCCTCAAACTACTTCGAGGACGCCCTGTGTGGTGGGTGCCCTGATCGCAGTGTCAGAGGACCAGGACCCCTTCTTGCAGGTCCTGAATTCAGGTCCCTTGCCAATGGCAATTGCGGCAGGCGCCATTTTGGTGCACGCAACCCTAGCTTTTCCACCTGATGACACTAAACCAGCTGGAGGGATTGTGGCGGGCGTGATGCATGTGGAGAGGACCGACACATCATGGATAGATGCGCTGTGTAACAAGAATGCCTCGTTATCCCCCGAAGAGCACCAGCGGCTTCGCAAACTCATTGAGAGATTCACCGATCTGTTAGTCAGAGTAAATTATATCTTGGTCGCACGACTCTGCTGGAATATCACATAGACACAGGGAAATCGCCCCCTATTCGGCTAAATTCGCACCGCTTCAACCCAGCAGAAAAGGAGCATGTCCACTTGGCCGTCGTCGAGATGTTGGCAGCGGACATTATCTCCCCATCCACTAGCCCTTGGGGTGCACCCATTGTGCTAGTCAAGAAAATGGATGGGAGTCTCTGGTTTTGCGTCCATTTCTGAAAATTAAACAAGATCTCGGTGGCTGATGCATATGCATTTCCTCGCATGGATGATTCCCTGGACGCCCTCCCGGGTGCGTTTTTTTTTTACTCTAGATTTGCTCTCAGGCTTCTGGCAGTTGCCACTGGACGAGGCCACTAGACCCAAGACAGCCTTCCGCACACCCCAGGGGCTGTTACAATTAAATCGGCTTCCTATGGGTCTCCATTCGGCCCTGACCACCGTCCAGCGTCTCATGGAGATGGTTTTGGCAGGGCTGCAGTGGGAGTCTTGTTTAATTTACTTGGACGACGTTATTGTTTTCGGCCTGTACGTTTGATGAGCACTTGCAATGTCTTGAGTCAGTGTTCGTCAAAGTGCGTGCTGCGGGCTTTACATTTAAACCCCAGAAATGTAATTTGTTACAACCATCGGTGAAGTATTTGGGACACATTGTTAGTGCGTCAGGTGTCACCACGGATCCGGAAAATACTGCTTGTGTCCGGACGTGGCCAACTCCCACATCTGTCGCTGAGGTGCGTAGCTCCGTCGGCTTCGCATCGTACTATCGTCGGTTTGTCTGCGATTTTGCGATGATAGCGAAGCCACTGCATGCACTCTCTGCCAAAGGTCAAAAGTTTAGCTGGGGCGTGAAGGAGGCCGCTTTTGTAGCGCTTCGCATGTCCTTGGCGGATGCGCCGCCCTTGGGGTACCCGGATTTTTCTAAACCATTCCTCCTCATCACCGATGCCAGCGACACAGTTATTGGGGCAGTCCTGGCTCAGGTGGTCGACAGAGTTGAGAGGGTGGTGGCCTATGGCAGCCGCGTTTTGTCCCCCGCTGAACAGCGGTATTGTGTGACCCGGAGGGAGCTGCTGGCCATAGTATTCTTCGTGCAGCTGTACAGGCCCTATTTGTATGGCAGGCGGTTTACCGTCCGGACCGACCATGCGGCCCTGCAATATTCGCTGGGGATTGACCAGCCCTCGGGGTCAGCTGTCCCGCTGGCACGAGGTGCTCCAAGAGTACCCCTTTGACGTTATCCACAGGAAGGGGACACAGCACGGAAATGCGGATGGGCTTTCCAGGTTGTGCCCTCGGTTCTAGCCGCTGCAAGGCCCCAGTGGACACCGCAGCCCAGTTGGTTGCATCGGCTGAAGCAGCCCCCCCTCCAGGTGTGGCGTTGCCTGTTGATTTTGGCCTGGGACTCCCCCAAGAGGTATGTTCCAAGTTGCAGATGGAGGATTCCTCTCTGCTGAGGTTATGACGCCATGTTGAGCCGAATGCCCAGAGCTCAGCTCCGTCGGCTGCCCCAGTGATTGCTGTGCATGACGGCCTCCTCATGTGCTGGGATGCCCAATTGGAACGTTATTGTGTGGTTGTACCCACTGGCCTGCGAGGTAAATTATCCCGAGCCATTCACGAGAAACTTATGCACCTTAGCTACAATAAGACCTTGTTGACCCTTAAACGGGACTACTACTGTCCGGGTGTGGAGGGTGATGTGGCACTGATTTTGAAATGAAGGCCCCACTTGGCCAGGATCGGACCCTGCTGCAGTCCATTCGGGTTTCTTGTGTCAATGAGCTCGTGGCACTCAACATTTTGGGGCCATTCCCAGCATCACAACGGGGCCATAGGTACCTCTTGGTGGGAGTCGAGTACATCACACGTTGGCCTGTGGCATGGCCTCTGGTGGACCAATCGGCCTCTTCCATCACCGAGTCGTTTGTCCAAGGGTACGCTCTGGACAAGGGTGCGCCTGAACAATTGTTAACTGACCAAGGGCAGAATTTTTCTTCTCAGTTGCTCAGGGAGGTGTGCAACCTCCTTGGCACCAAGAAAATCCGCATCTCGCCCTACCACCCTCAGTCCGACGGGATGGTATAGTGATTGAAACGCAACCTCACGTCCATGCTGTGCCACCACGTGAATACGTCCCAATTGGACTGGGACCTGTTTGTTCCGGGGGTTTTGGCCGCATATAGGTTGGCTCCTCATGCCTCAACGGGGTTCTTGCCTTTTTATTTAATGTATGTAAGGGAACCAGAGCCCCAAATGCACGTCCAGATGGATAGCGGGTCTTCCAAAAAGGGGTCGTCAGTGCCCACTCCAAAGAGGGTCGCGCTCGACCGGCTGCGCGAGGCACGGCAGGCAGCTGTTGACAATTCGACCAACCGACAGGCGGCTAACAAGCGCCTGCCCAGACATCAAGCTGCCGGCCTCCCTTGGGAAAGGGGCCAGAAGGCTTGGCTACACTGTCCCCAGGTACCAGTTGGCACATCTCCCAAATTGCATCGCCTTTGGCAGGGCCCTGTTGAGGTCGTGGAAGTCTGTCGGCCGCAATGTATTCGGATTCGGTTCAGTCGCCGGCAATGGATAGTGCACGCATCCCGGCTCAAACGATATGTGCCATCTAGCCTCGAGGATTCATCCCCACTTCCGCACGAGGGAGCGGGCCTTCAGCGCATACACGCTCGAGGGGCATGCGGCTCCGGTGATGGCCAGTGCGGCCGTTTTCATCGGCCTCCAGCCTTCGTCGCCCAGTTATACGTTGCCGTGTAATAAAGGCCTTCAAACTATATTTTTGTTGCTGTGCTGCCCTAATGTTGAGTTCATGTTCTTGCAGTCGGTCTCGCCTTCACACACATGTCACATGCGTTCTATCAGTGTTGTTATGTCTTCCTGTCCGGGTTGCCAGGCTCTGCTTTCGTATTGGTTACAGCTAGGTCGGCTGATTTTTATTTCACGGGGGGGGGGGGGTAATGTAGAGGAGCTGTCAGGGACATTACGTTATGCTCACATTCCGGTACAATGTCACGGGAAGTGACGTCATGTGGAGTGGGCGGGGCGATGACGTCATGTCTCCCTGGGGTACCGGGATGCAAGCGGGGTCGTTGTGGGAGCCCGGGCACGTGAATGGGTGAAGAGTGAACCAGGGGTAGGGCTCACGGAGTCTGGAGAGAAACCGGCAATAGCAATAGGAGCGGCTGCTCTCCTCGGTCGGTCGATGTTGGCTGATCCTTCGGCCGACGCAGAGGAGAGAGCCCGGGAAGCTAGCCGAGCTATAGAGCAGACAGAGTGTGGGTCCGGGTGAAGGACTGAGCATAGAACCCCTACCCCTGGGGACGAGTGTTAATTCCTTTACAATCACTGGCGTAAGCCCTTAATAAACATCTGGCGCAAGCCCTTACTGAAGATCTGCCTCCGAGTTGTCTTATGCACCTAAAGACATATACTAATATTCGTAAGAATTTGTGTACATATACTAATATTCGTTAGTATTTGCATACACATACATGACTGGTACACGTACACAATTACTAACTCTAAACACATTTTTCTAAATGTGGACGGAAAACCTCGTGGACCAGGAGAAAAATCCACTCAACCATGGAGAGAACATGCAAACTTCATTTACACAGCAGGCATTAGGGTGGGGATTGAGCCGACGACCTTCTGTATACCAGGCGAGGTAGTTAACATCTACCTCTCTACCGTTGTGTATACAACAGTGCTTGTATTGGAGCATGCACTTCACCATCTTGATGTGTGAGTACACTGAGTCGAGTCACATGTGCTCTTGATGTCATATTCCTACAGCTCCTTACAGCTCTGCTGCAGTGTGGGTCTCTGAGCATCCTTTTGTAAATTAATCAAAACAACTTTCAAATATTTTTTATTTATCAGGTAAGGCCCACTGAGCTATTTACATAGTTCTTCATTTTTCTCAGTGTCCTGGCCACAAATGACAGCTCAACGAAATGGCTTATCATGCTCTAAACGTGTGATGTTGATTCCAAATGTAGAGGGAAAACCGGAGGACCCAGAGAGAAACTCACGCCACCACCACGAGGAGAGAGAGAGATGCAGACCCCGAATATACAGCAGGGATTGGAAGGGCTGGAATCGAACCCACAACCTCCTGTTTGTCAGGCGAGGTAGTTAACATCTCACCACTGTGGCGCCCACTCTTTAAGCTCTGGGCATCATTTTAAGAATGATGTTTCCAGCATCTAGGAATAAATAGCCCATTTAGAGTTGCAATGGATAATTAATGCACGTCTTGAAGTCGGCAAGGTTATAATAATTACTGTCTGTGAAGGCTGCCTGGGTGATGAATATTCAATTGCATTCAGTCTCCACCCCGCCCTTCTTTATATTTCAGTTGTTTAATCCCAGTCTTCTATGACTCCACACACTCTGCTCTGTGAGAGTTGTGCCCCTACAATAATCACTCTACCTTCATGGGACCTCCCTTGCCAGTATCAAAATATAAGAATAGGGTTTACCCTTTCTGGCAATTAAACAGTTGTGTTAAGATGTTAAAACACCAAACTGAAACCTTTTGCAAGGAATCGTGTCTATATTAGCTACATTTGTGGTGAACATGCAAAAAAATGCTCCGAAAGTATTTGATGCATTGTCTTTGAAACTGATTGGTCCACACCAGAGACAGCTTTCTTTAGAGCCTAGCCTCAAACAGCGTTAGACCAGAGGACAATGCCCAAAAGGCAAACAGCATAAGGACAATGCCACTATCAGGACATTGAGAGCTCGCGGTGAGCAGCTACATCATGGGACCTCCCTTGCCAGTATCAAAATATAAGAACAGGTTTTTTGTTTGCATGTTCACGACCAGTGTATGTGGTTAATAAAGACATAATTCCTTGTAAAATTTTCAGTTTGGTGTTTTAACATCTTACCACAACTGTTTTATTGCCAGAAAGGATCAAATCTATTCTTATAACAGTACCTTGTTTAGAACACCTGCAGGGAGCAACGTGTTGGGCTCACATCAGCCCTGAGTCCAAATCGGCAGCCAGCACCGTCACCCTCCTCTGCTCCCCACTCCACCCCGCGTGACAGAACGGGTGCCCGCCTGAGGGTGCCCTACAGTCAGCGTCGTCGACATTCAACGCAGAGACTCTGCACAGCGATTGATCTCCCTAGACCAGCGGTCTGTAACCTGCTGCTCTCCTTAAGGGACCGCTTCGTGATGTTATTTATCAAGGTCACCACCGTCTCTTGTTCACCTCATGCATTGTAGTGGCTTTTGAAATATAGTTGTCTTTTTATATACTGGATTCAAACTAATTTATCTTATTGTTATTTTGGCTACCGACCCCTGGCTTAGACGGCCACCATGCTGCTCTCAAGCAATATTCTGCCCACTGTGTGATGTACCTCTTGATACACTGAGGCTCTCTTTGTTATCACCTCGGTGACCGCGTTTATCGCTGAATCCACCTCACGTCTCCCCCTCCAAAGTTGGCAAGTGCCTGTGCACTCTCGCCTGGCTTTAACACACGACACAGGCCCGCCTCGTGTTGCTGAGCTTGTGTTTGTAGCGAATGGGGCTGCAGCCATGAGTGAAGCAGAGAGACTTACACACAGCAGCCAGGAGATTCGTCTGGACGCCTCCCACTGAGATGACTTTTGCGAGGTTCAGGCGGCTGGAGACAGGGGCTGGGTCATCTTGAGTCTCCTGAGAGACGGAGCTTCTTCTGCACTCATAGCACGGGGCACATACAGAGTCTAATGAGGGTCCATGTATCTCTACACTCACAGCACGAGACTCACAGTCTTGAGGGTCCATGTCTCTCTACAAATGGACAATACAGACAGCCCTCGACATACGAACGCCCATACTTACAAACCAGCTTCCATGAAATAAAAAAATAACTTTGACTTAAAATGCAAACTTGCAGTTGCAAACTGAACATCAGAACTATTTTGTTCAGAGGAGCGAGATGTAATGAGTCGGCCTCGTGCTGGGAGTGTTTGCATGTGTACGGACATTGTGTGTGTGTGTGTAAGTGTGGGGGATACAGCTGGTGCATCTACCAGTCATCTCAGTCAAAGCCAAACCATGGCACCTGGATCTGTCCCGAAACCTCCTATCAGCGAACCTTTGACATTTCACGTGGCCTCAAAGTGTACCTGGCCTAGTACAGGTGCTGTGGTGATGTCTCCGTCATTTAGTTGCAAATGGCGGGTATTGGTATTGGTTTGGGGAGCGGTAGTGTAGCGGTGAGTGCACTGCGCTATGAAAGCGGTGACCCGAGTTCGATTCTTGTTCACGCACCACACCAATACCTGTGGAGTGCGACATCAGGGAATCAGCAAACACCAGTACCTGGTGTGGTGCATAAACGTTGCCACCGGGGCGACAAAAGCAGCGGGCCGTGATGCTGGCCACCCACCCCCTCGTCTGCCACAGTGGCGGCCATCTTAGGCACTGCTCGCTGAGAGTACTTGCTGCAAACCGCCTGTTAAGGCTACATGGGGGATTTATGTCGTTGGGGTGTCTTTGCTGATGTGTGTGCATGCATGCCCCGTTTGTTGTGCTGACTAATTGCCAACCTTCCGACTGCAGGCTAGCATCAATGTAAGTGATTTTTTTCTATTTGTTAATTTATTTAATGTTTAATTTACTATACAGTGTTTTTTTTAACAGTGTTAGATGCAAATGTACAACATTTTTTCTTAATTATGAGTTTAACAATGCTTCACTCTTTGTTGAACCCTAACACATTTTATAACCATGTCGGCATTAAAGTACGGTGCATTATTGTTTTCCGACTTATGAACCATTCGACGTATGAACGAGTCTCAGGAAAAAATTACGTGCATAACCCGAGGACCATATGGGACACGACTCCATACAATTAGGTTAATTAGGAAACACATCACGACCGTTTGCTGATTTGTCCACCAGGTGGCTAACAGAGCTCGAGTTTGAGTCTGGGTTGTTACTGACCTGAGACTGTCATGCACGGGATCCTGAAAAACACAAACCCGCATTTCACATTAACATTGACATCCTAAACAGATGCACCACCTGCACAAAGTCGCCTGCTATTTACAGTTGAGTGCGACATCAGGGAATTAGCAAATACCTGCACACAGAGAATGGTGAAAAACATGGTTCATTTAACTGGACACAGACGGATGTCTAAAAATGACAAAACCGCTCTTTACAGGCCTGGTCCAGCACCTACACGAGTGGTTTAATAACGCGCAACAACTCGTGTGTTCAACTCTGAATAAAATTAATTTTTTTTAAATGTTACCAGGTAAGGCCCAATCAGCTATGTCGCTCTTTTTCAGAAGCAACTTGGCCACAAATGACAGCTCAATAAAGGGGCTTATCAAGCGGAAATGTATAGCAGCTGCCTAATATTTCGATTTAAAGCTTTCGTGACTGCAGGGATTCATCTTCTTGTTTCTTTCGGTAAAGTCACGTAGAAGGGAAGTAATAAAATAATAAAAATAAAACATAATAAAACAATTCTCACGACGTTTCGGCTACAACGCAAGCAGCCGTCTTCAGGTGAAGAATGAGACACTACCAAACTAGGAGCTTATATATAAGCTGCATTGGGGGTTGAAGAGCGCCTTAACAAAAAGAATGTGCATGTGAAGAGGAATTTAGCATATTCATGGAAAATGCGTAGGCGTCGCCTACGCATTTTCCATGAATATGCTAAATTCCTCTTCACATGCACATTCTTTTTGTTAAGGCGCTCTTCAACCCCCAATGCAGCTTATATATAAGCTCCTAGTTTGGTAGTGTCTCATTCTTCACCTGAAGACGGCTGCTTGCGTTGTAGCCGAAACGTCGTGAGAATTGTTTTATTATGTTTTATTTTTATTATTTTATTACTTCCCTTCTACGTGACTTTACCGAAAGAAACAAGAAGAAGCTGCCTAATACTTTAAACACGTGATGTTGATTCTAAAAGTGGAGGGGATAAACTGGACAACCCAGAGAAAAATCTACGCCACCATGGGGGGAGAGAGAAGAAAAACGCAAACTCTAAATATACATCAGCAGGCATCATCAGGGTCTGGGTCAAATCCACGACCTCCTGCATAGCAGGCGAGGAAGATGGCGATGTTGTACTGGACAAGTCCAGGACTGAATGTCACACGGAAGCAAACGTGCTTCTATTTCTGGACACCACCGCTTCCTCCCAGATCATAAAACACTGAAATAAGATTGCCAACAATGTAAACTTCTCACAGGGCGGTGTGCCTCTCCTGGTTGTAGATAAACCCTCTTCTAATAAACCAAGACGGTGACCTTGCCACAAATGAAAGCTCAACAAAGTAGGTTATCGTATGAAACTGTATCACAGCCAAATTATCTAAATGCATGATTCTAAATGTGGAGGGAAAACCCAGAAGACCCGGAGAAAAATCCACACGACAAGGGGGAGAGATACACGCAAACTCCAAATATACCGCAGACGTCAGGGTTGGCATCGAACCCACGACCTCCTACTTAACAGGCGAGGTAGTAAACATTTCCGAGCCACCAGGGCGAGTGAATGGAGGTGGTGCCACCTGCAGGAGGAAGGAGAGCGGATCCTTTATGGTGATGGTGGCGAGCAACTGGTTGATCTCTTGCTCCAGGTCCCGTGCTCTGCTCTCGTAGCGAGCGATGTCCGCCTGGATGCGGGACAGCACGGAGCGGCCCTCCTCGTCCACGTGCTCCAGCACCTCCCTCTCCTCCTCCCTCAGCCGCTCCCTCCTGCGCTCAAACTCTCGGCTGATCCGCGCCTTGGTCCCACGCACAGACTCCTACACAGGGAGTGTTGAGTTGTTGAGTCACTTGTTAGGTAACGACGCAATTTGGCGTCGTACAGGCAATGTTTGTTACCATTACGTCGATTATGTACATGGAGGTGAGCGACGTGTGCATTGGGAGCTCGTGAACATATATAGCACAAGGGAGAATGAGAATGGGAATAAAAGGGGAAATATCATAGCCAAGGGTAGTATAGGAATAACGTTTGCCTGTAGCTACACGTTGCTGAGTGTCTTTCTGTGGGAAATTAAATACGTCTCTATGGGTATCGTTCGCATCTGTTTGTCTGTCCGTCCCACTCGATCTACCAAACGAAGCGTCGGAGGGAAATGCGAAATAAATTAAAACAAAGTCTCTTGCCGAGGACATTCCCAGGAAATTGTGTCAAAGGTCTGCGAATATACAGAACAAATACACGTCATATTGTTCTTGTGTAAGCAAAAATGTGCTGAAATAGACAAACAATGCTGATTTCTAAGGCAATACTCACGTCCACTCTCCCTTGCACTCAGGCTAAGTTGGTGCTGTCCAGATTTTGGGGGTCAGAAGGAAAGAATCGCAACCTTCCATGGCGAGCATCGTGGTTGTGATCAATAAAGGAATCGACAGGGCAAGCCGGCAACGCATCGTCCTAGCGTGGATCGATTCCATCCCCCCTAAACCAAAACTGCTGTCATGTTGGAAGTTACGTCATAAATGAAGTTTGTTGTGTAATACTGTGGAGACCTTATCATCAAGTCGTAAACGTGTTGCAAATGGGGCCATCCTAAACCGGTTGTAATGTTTCCCACATTTTTTTCCTGATGTGTAAACATACACAAAAGCAATATATTAATTGAAAATTAAAGTTTCAGAAAGGTTATGCGCTCAAAAAGTGGGCTTTAATTTTTTTTTCGGACACAGTTACGAACTCACACTTTGCTCCATTATAGTGTGATGTCGTTGATTTTGTATATTTATAGTAGGCAGCCAGCGAGTTGTCATTGCGAAACGATTCGCTTTAAATCCACACCGCTTGCAATTCACCGAAGTTATATCCTATGCCAACGTGTGGGGCAGTGCTCGTCAATGATAAGAGCGAGGTTTAATGAAATACGATTTGTAGGCAAACCTCCACGCGCCGGTAGTCATCCCTGAGCGTCTGTGTCCGTGACGCCACCGTGTTCCTCTTCTCTTCTCTCTTCTCCTTCTGAACTCTGAGCTCCTCCTGCGTGTGGTAAATACATAAATAAATGCGCGGTACTCGCCATTGGTTGGAACACTGATAGATCATCATCTCGCATCTCCCCGATTAGTACGGATGGCTTCGAAAGACGTTCAATACGCATACACATATCTGTTGTCATTATATTTCTGCATACGTCTCTCCGAATAATTAAATGGAAACTACCATGGGGCAATACAATATCCTGTGAGATAACATCGACAAATATCATGTACATGCTAAAATATGTTTAAACCTCTTCCAGTTATGGGTGTACTGGCCTATTGCACGCCCAACTATGAATCATAACGTTTCTCACTTAATCAAAGTCATATTTTGAATTATCATGCTAAATATAACATGCTGTCAAATGTTGACTGGGCTTAAACCATCAACTCACTTAACATGAGAATCCACTTAAAACCATGGGCGACCGACTAGATTCCAATTCAGCATTAGCATTCCGACATCTGAACCTCCCTGCTACCTCTACCTGGGTCTCCCTGTAAAGGGGCGTTTGGTCTCAACAGGAGCTCACCTGCTCAAGGTGAGGGGTCATGATCTACTAATGTGAATCTTTCAACCTCCTGTAACAATGTGGATTACAACAGAACATGACACTTCACCTGTCTTGTCTGTTGTGCTTTTTCCACTGATGATGACCCTGTGCCCAGAGTGGTCTCCTGCGACGGGGCAGACTGGGCAGACCGGGCTCTCGTCCTGTACACAGTAAAGAATGAGCTCCTGTCTGTGCTCACAGCACCGTCGCTCCTGCAGGTTCGGAGTGGGAGACACCAAGACGTGGTCTCTCAGCCTGGGATTATCTACATGAGGCCTCACGTGCCTCGCACAGTAGGACATCTCACATCTTAGGCAGGTCTGCACTGCAGGAATCTGGCCGTCACCGCAGATGTCACACATGACGGCTACTGGCCATTCCGTCTCCAACTCTGAGCTGCTCCACCAGGTTGGCTAGGGCCACGTTCCTCCTCATCTGGGGTCGCACAGAGAATGTCGCTCGGCACTGCGGGCAGCTGAAGCTGCTTGCCGTCTCCCAGGCGGTCTCCAGACACTGGATGCAGTACGAGTGTCCACAGCTCAGCGTACAGGGGCAGACGAACGTGTCCAGGCAGATGGGGCAGCGCAGCTCACTATCCACACTCTCACTGGGAGTTGCGCTCGCCATGACCCATGGGCTTCGCTGGGATCGCTCGCTCTGTGGCTCAGAGAGACGCTGGACCAGGACCACTCTCTTATAGCGATGGTGAAGAAGGAAGTAAAATACTTAAAATATTTTCATTGTCGTCACTGACAGCACGAGACACTGGCTGGAATGTGAACCCGCGCCCCGAGGTGCGCAAACAGCAGCCTGAACACGGATACTGTAGACACACCGCTACATGAACAAAATGCATCAGAGGAACTTACTGTTAAAAAAATTAAGAAATGAGTTGCTAATATAAGTCGTAGAGGTTCAGCTGCGATGGCTGATTTGTGAAATGAGCATCGAGAGATAAAGTCATCCTTCCAAAGCTTGGCGCACAAGTTGATGTCTATGGTAAGACAGAGCAATGGATTTCATGCCACAGTCTCTAGGAGAAGTTATCTCCCTCGCCTTATCACTGCTTTATATTTAGAGATTGTGTCTCTCTATCTGTCTCTCCTTGATAGCGTGAATTTGTATCCGGGTCCTCCGATTGTCCCGTCTACATTTAGAATCAACATCACGCGTTCAGAGTTTTTGGCTGCAATCAATTTCTACATAAGCTGCTTCATTGCGCTCTCATTTGAAATAGCCAGGTCGCTTCTGACAAAGAGCCACATAGCTCAGTGAGCCTTACTTGGTAAAATTAAAAGTTTTTGTAGTTGTAGATATCGCATGATGTTCTGTAATTCCATGTTTGGGTAATTAGCTCAATGCGACTGAGTTGCTTGAATGTCATTGTGGCATCCGAGATGGAATTTGTCTGTATACTCCCGTGACCCATCCTGGAATCTTGAGCTTTTTGCTAGCAGTTTGAATATATCATCAACTATACCTGCCTCCATCACCCACTGCTAGCAACGTCACTGCCTCTCACTCTCACCTTGTCCAAGACTGCAGATCCCCATCCCAATCATTCACAGCCGCACCCACTGCTTATTTCACCTGCGTTGTTTCCTATTCACATGCACAGCTATTACACATGGGTCCTCCATCCATCTTTCCACTGCCCATCCCCTCCCCAAGTGCTTCGGTCTTTGCTTATCACACCACGCTGCTCCTCGGGCGTGTTAAGGCACAGCGTGGTGCGATGCACAGGCGTCGTGGCAGCTAAAAAAGCCTGACGGCCTCTCCTCAACGAACAGAAGTTTTCTTGATTTGAAGCTTTCGTGACTGCAAGAATCCATACTCTTTGGTTCTTTCGGTAAAGTGACGTAGGTATAAAATTAATAAATCACGACGTTTCGGGCGGCAACACAAGCGCCAATCAACACAAGCGTCCATCATCACCACCTGATGATGGACGCTTGTGTTGCGCTCGAAACGTCGTGATTTATTTTATACCTACGTGACTTTACCGAGAGAACCAAAGAGTATAGAAGTTTTCTTCCCGGAGTAGAGCCCTTTGAGATAAGAAACTATTTTTTAAGGGTGAATTTGCCAGCAAACATCATCAAAGCATTCCATAATTACACACGTAGTCTCACACGGCCCATCATAACTCTCACGCACTCACCAACTTACTTATCCACTCACTAACCCACTCACCCACTTATAACACCCACTCACTCATTCACACCCATCCTCCCACTGGCCCACTCTCTCACACACACTTCAGAAGATGAATCAGAAGTTTACTTCCCTGGACTAGAGCCCAGTGATGCTAAGGAAGCTTCTTTCAAGGCGCCTCGACTGGCAGATAGGGGCAAGTTGTTGTCATTGGAAGGAGCCGGACCCTCGCCACTCTCTGCCTGCCACGAGAGACCCGGGCGGTGCCTCTACCTAGTTATCAGGGATCGCCAACCAAATAAAATATTAGTTCTACCTGATGTCGGTTTGCTTGTGTTGCAATCTAAACGTCGTACTCTATTATTTAATTTATTTATTTTAAACGTGACTTTACTGAAAGAAACAAGAGAAATTCCTGCAGTCACGAAAGCTTCAAATCACTTCAAAATAGCAAGAGCTATTTTTTTCGAACTCGCAAAAAATATATATTTTCAGAGTTGCTGCTATCATGCATGTAAATATTAGGCATATATTTGGAACTTCTTTCACATCGTACGTGGCCTACCGCGATAATTGGAGGTGCAGAGGAAGGACAACAAACTAAACACACCCAGAAACAGTTCTAAAGAAATTAGTTTGTAATTGTTATGGTTCGGATGCGTTGTGCATGGATTGTACGAGTGGTAGAACCGGCGAGACCTGTATTTCTGTATGGGGATGTTAATTTTGCAATCGGGTAAATTGGTTGCATTTTTAAGGCATTTTTTATTTTGTAATCCTCATGATGCTCAATTTTTTTCCACGCGTCAATCGGCACCCTAGCTAAGAAGAGCTTCCATCAGGGGGGACATTTCCCAGGTGAAATATTTTATTATTATTTTTACCACGGCCCACCCTCACTGCTTTGGAAACGTTGGTCGTGCAATGCGTGGTTAACTTGCATAGGGGCCAAAAACAAGTCGGCTCAGCTTGTGCCAAATCAAATTACATCCATTTAGGAGCACAGAGTTACACGATGGGAGAAAATGTTGTTATAACAATGACAAATCGCCCACCAATCGCACCCAATTGTATTTTCTAAACGGTTTCTCTATTTTTTATACGTTTTTATTTAACTCACTCAGTTGTATCCTCAAATCTTGTAACTCAATTTTAACCCCCTTCCCAATGTGGTATCGACTGCAAACTTCGTATAGTTATGTCTTACTGATGACAGTACTATATTCTATCATTTAAAGTAAAAAAAATATTTTTTAAACAATCTTTTTACACGCTTTAAACCATCTTTTTTACATGTTATGTTTCGGCTTGGGTCTAATTGTCCACGCTCAACTGACGTTGGCTGTAAATCACCACGGTCCTTTACGTTATGGCAAGCCTCGGGGCCACTTCCTGGAGTCGTGGAGTTCTGCCATTACCAGCACGGTACATTTCATTAAAGCGTCTTTTAAAAAAAGTATTTTAAAATATTACTTATTTATTTTATTTACGAAGTATATATCGTTAACGATATATATTCATTGCGTATGGTTTCACTTTATTTTGCCCATTCGGTGATAGCCGCTGAGGTCGCGATGGATTTCTTTTAAATTCTTGTTTTTCTATACCCTCAGTACCGACTCTGTCCTGCTGTAATGTGCACTAATGCCTACTTTAGTGAGGGCGATATTTCCAAGTAGAATAAAGATCGATTGACTCACCTGTTGGGGCAGCGAGGTGACCTTGTGGTAGTGCTTGCCACTTCATTTCAGAGGTTCCACGACTGCGGGTGCTGTCACCGTCACTGCTGTCTACTGCACAGTCGACCTTCACCATCCTCGGACATCATTCACGAGGGTAGGACTCCATTATGCGCAAGTAATTTTCCGAATTCCCAAAATGACACCGCAAATTCTTTACGATTCTTAATTAACTAGGTAAGGTCTACAGACAATTTCCATCTCAGATGCCACAATGACATTTAAGGAAGTTGCTGGATTGGAGGAATTATCAGGAAATGGAATTACAAGAAATCATGAAATATCTACAACTATACCAACTATTCATTTATTTTACACGGTAAGGCTCAATGCACAATGCAGCTCTTTTTTCAGAAGCAACCTGGCCACCACCACAGCGAGATGTTATCTCAATTGTGATTGCACACAGCAGCTGCAATCATTGCCAGCTACTGGCAGACACCTGCACCAGTTTAAGCTTGCAGGTGAGACTCATTCTGGTCTCTTATCGCCCAAACCAGACGACATACACAAATTGGTTTCCCTCACATGGTGGCAAGATGTGAACTATCTCGCCTGGCATATACGAGGTCATGGGTTCAATCCCGACCTGACGCCTGTATATTTGGAGTTGCGTAATCCCCCCGTGGTCACGTGGATTTTTATTCGGGTCCTCCGGTTTTTCCCTCCACATTTAGAAATATGCATTTAGATTATTTGGCTGCTGATTTAAATTTCCACTTGATTAACCGCTTCGTTGAGCTATCATTTTTTTAGCCAGGTCACTTTTGAAAAAGAGCTACATAGCTCATTGGGCCTTACCTGATAAAATAAAAATAGTTTTAGTTTAGCTTTTATAGACGCTAATGGAGTTGGACAAACATCCAGGTATAGGACACTATAGCTTGGGAAAATGATGACGCCTGTTTTGCCGTCTGTCTGTTCAGGCAGTGGATGGATTTGAATGCAAGGACAAGAACCTCGTCTACTAGCAATCCTGTTTTGTCTTTCAAGTCATGGGTAGAAGCCAAATAATAACCCTATAGTCTTGCGTACCCAAGGCAGTTGTAAGTCTGAACCAATAATCACAGCGTTATGAGTCCAGTCGATCACGAATGTACACTGATCGCACACACACACAGGCGTAAGCTCTTTAGAATAACAATTGCATTTGAAGTCGGTTGCCACATGGGTTCAGACTCAATGATGGATAACAAACATCAACCTCTGGTAACTGGTTGGAGGTGTTGGCGCCCCTTCGCAGCAGTTGGCCCAAGCAAATCCTCAAGAAGGTTCCAAAATCCATGGTATCAAAATACATTTTCAGGGACTTTTATTAAATTTTATTTTAAAAAAGGTTTGCAGTGTGAGAACAATAGTGGGAAAATGTGACGAAATGTCAACATTTTTTCTGATTTATATTCTTTTTTTACTAAATATGAGATGCCGTGGGTTTTCCTTAAAGTAAAAAATAACCGAGACACTTTGCTTGGCGTGTCACTCACTCTGGTCGTGATGACGCCCTAATTTAAAGTGTAATTATCTTTGGTCAGGCAATTATTTTATTTTCTTGAAAAAAAACACTACAATCAGAGACTGCAATTGGGAAAATGAAAAATAACGACCACTACAAAGCACATTTACATGTAGTGGAGTAACGCGCGCGGGGTTTTGCAAACAGTGTGCACGCATGTGTGAGCGGCGGACAGTGAAGTCACGTCAGGGCAAACAGATGCGTAGAGAGAGCAACAAGAGAAAGGCGACCAATTGAGATGCATAACAGTGATTGGCCGGCTGCAAATGCAGACATGGAGTAGGCGCCTGGG